CTATCTATCTATCTATCTATCTATCTATCTATCTATCTATCTATCTATCTATCTCTATTTATCTAAACTGTCACTACAATATAGGAAGAGTCCCACACCCTTGGGCCACCTCCCTGCCTTGCTCCACTTATTTCTTCGGAAGATCACCTCTCTGAAAGAGAATGAATTCATGTTTCATATGGCCTTCCTATACAGACACTGTCTTGTGCCATCCTGGAAGCAGGAATCATTTTTGAGCCCAAGAATTGTGGCCACTCTCAAACTGGCACCCACTTCTGGGATAGCATAAATTGATTTTTCTAAAGGAAAGTCAATTTGCCACTTCTTTTTTAGAAAGGTGATTTTCAAAGATGACCTTTCTGAAGAGCACCCAGCTGATGTAACATGTGGCCTTTTACAAAGGCTGCTTTGCACCATTCTAGAAGCAGCTGGCATTCTTGTGAGTTCTCAGAAGGGCTCCCTTCTGAGAGATCCTACAGATTCTACTTCCAGAATGGCATGAAGTCTCTGAAGGAAGATGGAACATTGCATGGCCTGGGTATTGTTTTGGGAAAGTGTACTATGGAAAAGGTAAGTGAAGCAAGGCAGGGAAGAGGCCAAAGGATGTGGGATCCAGTGGGGCAGGAAGCTGTGCAAGGGATGTTTCAAGGGGTAGGAAAGCCCTGGAAGGTGAGGCACAAGCCACATGTGAGCATGGGAGATGCTGCAATGAGTGACATTTTTTATTGCCTGTCCCCAACCCAAGGCAACCTGTACTCCACTTAACAAACCATGTGGTTACTTAATAATCAGTGGGAAGAGCTGGGATTGTGGTCCTTAAGTGAGGTAATCATATGAGTACCTCTTTAATAACCGCAACAATGTGGACCGTAATCCCATGCCCAATTGTGGTTATAAGTCAATACCAGCTATAATGATGTTCTAAAAATGGTTATCAATATAACTAGTAATAGTACTTTGATTCCGATTTTAGGAAAGCAAATATTTGTGAAGCTTATAAAAAGAGAGACCAGAAGAAGATAGGCCTGTCTGAGTACATTTCCCCACATCTGGAATGCTCAGAGGATAAAATGAGTATTTTACTTCACATTACTAACAAGGAGTATATCATACATCAAAAAAAGAGGACTATGTTTGATTACTGGCTGAATGCTAATAATGAATTGATAATGAAGGAAAACATTAAGAAATGTGATTTGCTGTCTGAAATGACAGAGCCTAATCTAATATTCTACAGTAGTTCTCACCTTAAGACTACAATACAGATTGAAAAATTCATCTTTAATAACCATATGACCAATAACCATCCTTGGTTATTATTATGACCATGGCTTGTGACTTTCCCATTGACTGTATTGTGAGGAGTTGCTTGGAAAGATCCCAAATGACAAATGTGACAAATGTAAATGTGTGAAGGCTGCCAATTGCCCAAATTGTGATTATGTGGCCATGGAGATGCTGTGATGGTGTTAAGTGGGAGAACCCATCACTTTTATCAGTTGTGAACTTGGATTGTTGCTAAACAAATAGTTGTTAAGGGAAGACTACTTATATTACTGCCTTCTTCCAATTGTGTGATTGTCGGAAAGCTAAAAAAAGAACCAGGGATTTTTTAAAAATGGTAAGCCATAAAAAGAGTTTGGGAAAAGACTCCAAGTGTCATTCCAGAAAGGAAGGACTATAATAATTAGCAACAAGGCCTAATAAAGGAGAGCTAAAAATGTGAGAAGACGGGAATGAAAGCATTTTGTAGCTTTGAAGTCAGAGGGAAAGGGCTGAGCTTTATATTTTGAGTCAGATTTACTTTAATATTGTCTCTCAGCTTGAAACTGAAATAATATTTCTTTAAAATATTGTCAGGCAGTAAAACCTGAAAACAATATGAGCAAACAATATATTGTTTACAATATAAATCTATACACTTTATTTACAACTATACACTTAAGTGAATATTATTATAGCATTAAATCAGTTATATACATACAGTGCTAGAATCACAACAGCATCAATTTCAGATCCCCAAACAGAATGTCTCAGAAATTCTGGACAATTTTGCCACATAAAAAAATCACAGTCATCTTTTCTGTTTCTCTGGCTTCACTGATTTTTATCAAACAAAATGTGTTCATCAGGTGATGGACATCTTTGGTCCTTTAAAAGCTAAGGTGAGGTTTCAGAGCCTCTTGTTTCTCCTTGCAACACACTTGGTTTTTAGCATCTCCGGGTAGTGCCAAGAAGTTCTCTGCTGGGTCGGACACGACTCTTTACTTCCGGTAGCAACCAAGGTGTTTTGATGTAATTCATAATCATTTTGGCAGGGCTACGAAGTGCTGGGTTAGGTGTCAGGAGCCCTTTCAACATTTCTAATGTTTGAGGAGTGAAACGTTCCCAATGGGCTGGGAGTGATACAAAACGGGGGCTACGATGCCAGGAGACAAAGCTGCAATAATACCGATCAGAGGGCATAGCTGTAAGCCAGGGGAAGTAGCCAGTTAGCACACAGAATAGCAGCACTCCGAGAGCCCAGGTATCAAGGCTTGGCTGGGCTTCCAGGATAGTTTTGGGACCCAAGATACACATTTCAGGCGCAGTATAAGGCAGACTTTCAGGCAAGGCCTTAATGGCTTGGCCCCTTGGGCAGCTCAGTCCAAAATCTGTCAGCTTGATGCGCCGACATTCAGGGTCACAGAGCAGCACGTTTTCTGGTTTGACATCTCGATGGATTAGTCCTTTGGATTCCATGTATTCCAGGGCACTGGCAAGCTGCAGGGCACAGCGCTTTACCTGTTGCTCAGGTACGCCAACCTGGAAATAAAAGGTGACATTTGTAAGCCCCAGCCTCACAGTTGTCCTAAAAATGAGGAGAAATATCTGGATCTACTACCTTTTGGATCTTAAGAATAATTAATATAATAATTAATTTAATTAATCATTAAAATGGAATTCTTCATGAGCTTAGGGTACTTTTTAACATGGTGGTTCTTTTTAACAGCTTACAGCTGATTTACTGATTTGATCTGTAAGGCCAGCAAAGGGGACACAAGTCTTTTAAAGTGCTCACATTTCAGACAGCTTTCGAAGAAATAACTTGAAACATAACCAAGAAGTGGAAAGCGGCATAAGCTTGGGTTGTGTTCAGTGTCTATCACTTAATGCATAAACAGTGTCTGGCATCCAAAAGCTAGCATAGCAGACAGTTTCTGTCTCTTTCTAGTTATGTATTTTCAAAATATAATAATTAGAACTATTATTATAAGCAATTCATACCATCTTCAGAGAAGCACTTTCTCTTCTGCCACAGTACGAAGAACTACATTTTTCTGAGCAACTGTCTGCTACAACAAGCACGTGTGCAACAGTTGGACATGCTTTTTGCCTCAAAATATTTCTTCTACAATGAGTGCATCTAAGGAATACATGCATAATAATAAATAATTGCACACAAGCAGTGTTGGGATTCAGCCAGTTCGCACCTATTTGGGAGAACTGGTTGTTAACTTTCTAAACAGTTTGGAGAAACAGTTGTTGGAAGAAATCTCATTTTGTTTTTTTCCACTTTACAAGGCTAATCCTATAAGGAAGGCAGGAAGGAAACATTCTGGTGTTGTTCCTAGCCTAATCGTTATTGTCCTGCTTACAGAAACTGCCTCTCTGGTTAACCCTTATTACATTGTAATAGCTAAGGCGAAGTGCCCATCGACCTGACTGATGCTGAGTTGGCCACACCTACCAAGTCACATGACCACTGAGCCGCACCTACCCAGCTGGTCACTGGGGCAAAGAACCTGTTGTTAAATTATTTGAATCCCACCACTGCACACAAGGAATAAATCAACCAGTTGGAATTGTGAAATCCCAAAAAATTGAATTCAATCTCATCACCAAAAACATGGTTTATATATAGTTTATATAGGCTGAAAGTTCATGATATAGATTAGACTAAAAATTAAACTAAAAAAAAAAAACTAAACTAAAAAACTAAACTAGATAGGCTTGGATAATAAAAGGGAGATGATATATAAAATATATAAATTAACAGGAATAATTCCAATGTTAAGGAGAGCAATGAAAGTACAGTTCACATCCTTCGTAGGAAATCCACCCTCCTCTCTCACCTTCTCCCTCCCCCTTTCCCCTCCCCCCTCTCTCCCTCTCTTTGTCCATCTCTTTCCCACCTCTCTCTCTGTCTCCCACTCTCTCTTTCCTGCTGTCTCTCTCTCTTCCACTATCTCTCTCCCTCCCATCTCTCCTGCTGTCTCTTTTGGGTTCAAGACTACACTCCTGGGAGAGCCTAGTACTAATATAATTCATCCTCACAATGACCCTCAACTGAGAAAATTGGGAAGAAAGACACCAACTGGAGTTCCAATGGCTGTGTGTGGGCTTCAATCTCCCTATCACCACTGGCTTTAGAAAGTAACAGCCTTTTCCCTTTTTGAAATATCTTGATAATGGATTATGGGTGTTGAAAGATGATTTCTGCTTGCTTTACTATTTGTCATCTTGTCTATTTAGGTAATACAGGAAATCATTTGTTGTAGGTACTTACCTTTGGCACCATAAGTGTGAAGAGGTCATGAGACAATGCCAATTCTTGTGCAAAGACATAGTGTTGGGAGGTTTGGAAGGCAATCCCGAGGGCAGTGGCAATACAGGGGTGTGCCCCCAAAGTCAGTGCAATGCAATATTCATTAAGGAAATCATGTAGCTCTGTACCTTTTTTATGTACAAATTTCAGTGCCATGGGGGTTCCTGAAAGAGAAGAGAGCTTGGTTCATGAAAAGAAGAAATCCAGTGTTCTAACTTCTCCTCACTCTAGTTTGAATTAGTTTGACATGCAGGTAGGTATGCATTTGATGTTCTTCCTTCATTTCTCACAATTCTGTAAGATATCATAGGCTAAGAGAAAATGATAATAGTATGTGGAAATGACCTTGGGAGACAGGAAGAACAGTTGCACACTGGACAACTGACATATAAAAAGTATCTCAGTCCACAGAAGAACTGGGAAGTATTTCAGAAGGGACTCTTCCTAGTTTTCGGACCTGGGAAGTATTTCAGAAGGGACTCTTCCTAGTTTTCGGAATAGTAAAAGGAGAGGAGTTCTAACCCTCTGCTCAACCCTATACCATTTTGAACAAATCAATGCCAATCTCTTCTTAAAAACCTCCAGTGTTGGATCACCCACAACTTTTGGAGGCACGTTTTCCACTGAATTAATTGTTCTAATTGTCAGGAAATTTCTCCTTAGTTCTAGGTTGCTTCTCTCTTAGTTTCCATCTATTGCTTCTTGTCTTGCTTTCAGAGGCTTTGGATAATAGGTTGACCTCCCGCTTCTTTCTGGCAGCTCCCTAGATGTTGGAACACTGCTATCATATCACCCCTAGTCAATCTTTTCATTAAATTAGACATACCCAATTCCAGCAACTATTCTTCATATGTTTTAGCCTCCAGTCCCCTAATCATCTCTGTTGCTCTTCTCTGCTGCCTTTCTAAAGTCTCATCATATTTTTGCAAGATGTTAACAGAACAGTTGCAGTCGTGCAAGATTCTGTTAATGTAGTCTTATAATAAAGATAAAATTAGTATCCATACTTTATTTCTGAGTCTGGATTGATTCAAAGGACTAGCAATAGCTGAATTTCTGCAAGATCCAAGGCACTTTTGTTTTGCTTAAAATTATTTTCCACATTTGTACAACCTTTACAAATTATTTTGGTTCATAGCCTTCTCTATTCTTTCTTTTGCCTTCTGAATCCAGACCCACCTTGGCGATGGTGGACTGCCATCAATACATGCCCAAAGGCACCACTGCCCAGCTCTCTAAGGATGGTGTAACTACTGGTGACCTCCACCTGAGGTAGGTTCTGAGCTGTCAGCTGCACCATCTCCTCAAGTCGTTTTCCAATGTCACCCGAGATTAGTTTCATGACTGCATGGAAAGAGAAACATATATACATATAGAGAGGGCTTAAAGTGAACACAGAAGAAATCATTAAATAAGTAGCACCTCATCTCCATGGGGCTTTCTTGAACTTTGTCCTGCTAAGCACAAAGGGTGATTTTATTATTCATTTGATTCCCTGGTTTTCATTTAGAGAAAGGATGTGGGGTAAATCTTACAAAAGAAAAAAACATTTTTCCTTTCACAACAGACTACTTTTGCAAGCTACGGGATTCCTTTTAAAGATTTAAGTATTTTGACAGTCAAAGTTGCAGGATACAAAACAAAAATGGAATTATGTTGGCCAAGTACATAAGATGCTTGATAGTTTTTTTCCCTTTAGTGGCTTATTATAAGATCACTAAATAGATCTTATAGGTCTTGGCCTTCCATAGGGGCCTTAACCTGACTTTACCAAATGGATTGGGCCCTTATATAGGTGTCTTGTACTGAAGGTGGATAATAGATTGAGGGATGATTCTAGTTTCACCCCATTGCTCATTTACTTAGGTATCTTTTAGTGTCATGATTAATCATTTTTATTTAAATATTTCATTGTTTTATATTTCTGTTTTTACTTTATTGTAAGCTGCCTAGAGTCATCTCTGGGTAAGATGGGTGGAAAAAGAAATAATACTCCATAGATTTTGAGCTGCATATGCCTGATCTATAAAATAGGAATGAAAAGAAACATACACTTTTTAAAAAAAAATAGAATGAATGGATTAGTGGAAAGTAAGAACCATGATGGATCTTGCAAAATAGTGAAGATAATTTGATCATTCCTTTATTTCTCTGCTCTTTGGTTGTGTTTAAAAGTTGAATAGTCCTCAATTTATGACCATATGTTCAATCATCATTTGAAGTTGTGACAGCACTGAATGAATTATGGTTTTGACTGGTTCCTGGAATTCCAGCTATCCCACACCCTTGTGGTCACATAATTGTAATCTGGGTGCTTGGCAGCCATCTCACGTTTATCCCCAGTCATGTTGCCCCATGGACACATGATGCCATTTGCAACCTTTTCCACTTCCATAAAGTCAGTGGGAAAGCCAGCAGGGAAAGTCACAAGTTGGTGGTGCAGTGATCAGAATGCAGTACTACGGGCTACTTCCGTTGACTGCTGTCTGTCTGAAGTTTGGCAGTTCAAATCTCACCGGTTCAAGGTTAATTCAGCCTTCCATCCTTCTGAGTCGGTAAAATGAGGACCCAGATTGTTGGGGGCAATATGCTGACTTGGTAAACCACTTAGAGAGGGCTGTAAAGCACTGTGAAGTAGTGCATAGGTCTCAGTGCTATTGCTACCCTTTTCAATTACCCCCCTACCCTTCAGCACTTGTGCTGTGCTGGCCACTCGCACACTCCTAGATACAATGCCTGCTCCAATTCTTGCTATACCTCCTTGTACCCCAGTGAACCCTTCCACGCCTCATCAATCCTTGCTGTGCCTCCCTCACACCTACCCATCCACATTCCCTCACCTGGCAGTAGCTTTTGCATGCTTAGTAGCCTACTTACAACTTTCTGCTGGCTACTCTTGTTTAGGTTGTTGTGTGAAACCAGAAGGAAGTTGCCTTGCTGAACAACCACAGGATTTGGTTAATGACAGCCACGGGGGGGGGGGTGTGCTTGGAGTCTATTAATTACATTAGATTCTACTAATCTAATATAATCGTAACACTTTACAATTACTTAAGAACTCCAATCATAATTGTCATTTTAAATTGATGTGTTCCTGATTGCTATTCCCACACCCACCGACCCCTGCCCCAACACATCCAGCAATATGGAGAATGAATGAAAATTGTTAGTTATCAAAGAATAACATTGTATCAAATACTGGGGAGAATTTTGCCATGCCACTAAATGTTACATTGGGAACTAAAACATGCTTGAAACTTCGCTTATTGTTCGGCAAGATATTATTATGATATATCAAATTTGCAGCTCTGGAAGACCATCTAATATTTTTAAAACATTTCTGTCTCCCTTCCACCAGCATTTTAAGGATATATTATTTAACCCTTCTTTGCATTTCTTTCTCATACCAGCCCTATGAAATAGATTATGCTGAAATTACATCAAAATTATACAGTGAATGTAATGGCTGTCAGGGGGTTTAAACCTGATTCTCCAATCCATGCAGATTCAGATAGAATAACTGCATGAAAATAATTATGTCACCATGCAGACATGTCCTATAGTGAACATGGGTGTTTTGTCTTCAAATATAGCTTTACTTCCTATTTACTCTCAATGTTCCTTACTTGTTTTGAAGCAACATGTATTCCAACATGAGAACATGATTCCTCCTGGCAAAACTTCAGAAATGTCTACGCCCCTGTGTTTACATAAGCAAATAAAGCAAATTCTATGTGTACACACTGAAGGACAACCAGATACCCTTCAGTTTTAGCAAGTTGCAAAATAATACAAGACCCAGAATGCTGGTCCAGATAGTAAAAAGTGATGGTAAATGCTGGAGACATACACTTAAATTATTAAGTTCTGAATGCTTCTGCTGACATACAGAGTGCCTTTTTCTCCCAAAGCAACCACAACTAATCTTACCAGAATTGGAACAAAATACTTTTAAGCAGAGAATGTGATTTATAGGCAGAGGGGTTTCACTTCTAACATTTCAAAGCTCTGTTAGCAAATGTAGGGCATAATATAAAGGGCTTTTGCATTCACCACAAAAGCATAATAATGGGATTTCTCCCCACAAAAGCTCTATGAATTCTCTTTAAATTGCAGTTGATGCAAGAGAATAAGCAAAAGAGACGTGAGAACTTTCAGTCAGTTGCACCATTTGGCCTGTAAGTTTTGCAGATGCAATAATTAGAAATAACAATCTAAATGTCTCTATAGCAGATCCTTACCCGCAACTCTGGAGCTGGAGCACATGTGCCTCTTTTCCATCTATTTCTTCTTATTTTGTTGATTAAACAGTCAATCCTGCCTTGTCAGCCTAATTCAGTACCTGTTCCATGCAGATCCCTGTAGCACCTTTTATAGTAACTACTTCCCATCTGATTCTGTCCAGTCACTTTAATAGGGAACTGTACCAAACCACTCCTCTCATATCTTCTCCACTCTGCCCCAAAAGGTCAAGACTTTGGAAGCCCAGGCAGTTCCATGAGACAGGATTAACAGCCACTTATCAAGGTTATTTTTACTGCTCTTACCCAGATGGTTTCATACTTATGTGTACCAGATGTTCCTGGAAAGAAATGCTTCTCCTGTGTCTGGAGAACCAATGGTTAAGCTTCGATGAGAGAAAGTCTTGAGGCGGAACGAAAGGGGACTTTACTGGGGTGCACATATAAACTCACTGTTTCCATGCTGATAAGATCAACACAATCTTATTAAGCACACACTACTTTTCTTGCACCTTGGTTTTATTCTGGGTCTTTCATATGCATTTGTTGAACAGTTCAATCCAGATGACACCAGTTTGTTTTGAGGAGTGAAAATGTGGATAATTCTGGGGTTCTACACTGGTTTATCTGAAAAACAAGAGAAAATCTGAGCCTTTTCATTTTGGCAAGAATTAAAATGGTGAATGGTGTTTTTTTTTTCCTCCTACCATTGCTTTTCTTTTACTTAATTATTTTCTGGGTGCAAGTAATCCCTTGCTTTCTGCTGCAATTTAAGCATGAAAAGCAATGATTTAAAAAGTAAAATTTCCTTTGTGTCAAACATTTCCTCATGAAAATAACTATGTGATTTTCTTGGCAATAGTATGAATGATTTGATACTGTCTTTCATCGTGTTCTTGATTTGTTGGTCTGTCCTACATTTGGACACTCTTGGGTAATTTCCTTTTTATCTGTTAACTTTAGTTTCAGAATTTCTGTAAAGGCTTGATTTCTTTTTAATGTTTATACAAGACTTTACTGTTGCCCTACACACAAACACACCTGTTGCAACTTATTAACTAGTACTATTGTGAAAAGTGTTGGATTGCAAAATCCCACCAAGATACTATTTCATGTTTTACCATATTTTCTGTATCTCATATATTGCAAGCTTTGTACTAGAAACAAAAAGAATAGCCTCTTTATCATAGATTTTGGGCTGCTTGTATTTTCTTATAAACAGATTTAGAAACTCCTGATCTTCTTTCTACTCTGTTCTTTTAGCTGATACATGCATACATCCTCCCACTTCCAAACACAAACAGACATGCAATGCCTGAGAGGGAGTCTGTTGCCTGATGGTATTGTTGATGATGATGATGATGATTTTGCAGGTATAAACATTTCAGAACATTTTCTGTTAATGTTGAGCACAATTTTTTCCTATGTAAACATATAGAACAAGATGAAGAAAACATGGTGTACTCTGGAATCCCTCAAAAGAGCAAATTAGGGAAACCTGTTCTTTGTTTGGAGGATAAGTAACGTTGTGTTATCCAGATCATTATTAAATGATTTCAATACATGCTTTTGACTATTTGTTTATTGAGTACTTGAAGTTATGACTATTGAAAAAAAGTGATGTATGACTGGTTCCTGCCCACTTACAACTGTTGCAGTGTCCCTGTAGTCACACCATCATAATTTGGATGCTTGGAAACCAATATTTATTTTAAAAGGTTGCAGCATCCTGGAGTCATATTTGTAACCTTCTCACCTGACAATAAAAAAGTCAAAGGAAGAAATGGTGATTTGCTTGACAACCATGGAAATAAAAGGTCATAGAATTTGGTGCAGTATGCTTATGGATCATGGGCCATTAAATAAGGACTACATTGTTTAGTGACATATATTCCAGTTTCAACTGTAGTCATAATTTTAGATATTTTATAGAGACAGACACATACATAGAGACACACCTATCTACCTACATACCTACCTACCTATACCTCTCTATCTATCTATCTTAATGACTAAATAGTTGCTTACTATATCACTTGCTGATATCTCTTTTCTGCAAATCTGTTTCCATGAAGACACCTGTTTTTACAACTAGATATCATTCACACAGGCAGAGTCCCTTGCCTGTTGGCATGCCATCTTGCACTCAGATGGAAGACAGATGCATTCTGACCTTTCCATATTTCTTGGCAGCCTTCATATTGCAGGTGGATAACTCACACCCAAGGCCACTAATGAATGTCTGACACAGAAGCCTGCCCCTGGGGAAGAATGGGAGGACTTAACTAAGCAGGTGGGCAGGACACTGTTTGTTGTATCCTGAACTTGGGTTTCCATGGAGTCACTCTCTAACATGGCCTAATGCTCTTGGGAAGCCAAGAGAAAATGCACAGAGGAGCTGGTTCAGTGGTACACAGAGTTTCAGCTTTGAATGGACTATAAGTAATGCAATGAAATCTGGGGATAAGTGAGGAAAAGGTGATCACCTTTCCCTGATGATTAGCTGTATGGACTGCCATCACTATAGGCTTAAATAAACAGGAAGCCAAGCCAGGGTCTTTTGCTGATTGACCAACTTTCCTTGATCAAAAGGACAAAGAGCACCATGAAAAGCAGTACTAAACATCTCCCCATCTCTTGCATTTTTCCTCCCCTAGCTGGCAGCAATCATTTGTAGAGAGGTAGATTTTTTGTTTAAAGAAAAGCTTCAGTGCCCATTTCATTTTTTTTAGTAAACCCTGCCAAAAACTTGTCTGCCTTCCCTGCATTGAACAATGGGTCAAAATATAGGCTATGTATCATTTTAAGGATTACTTTTTTAAAATAGGGGTGGTAGTTTACAAAATGATCACAGGTTTAAACAAAAAAAACCCTAGATTATGTGCATTTCCAGTTCAAGGTCAATATATTTTTGTTTTAATGCTTTCCGGTTGTTGGTTGAGTGCATAAGTCCTGCCCAAACTGTCAGGCCCAATTCATTTTGAGGATGATAAGTTTCCTTCAGTCATATTTATGAATACTGCCTCATCCTTCTTTGTCTTTTGGTTGATTACATGTGTTCTCCTAGAGGAGATGGGCCAGACCTGTTCATCTCAAAATGCCTTCAAACTTGTATTTATTACTCTAACTTTGTTCTGTAATTGAGGCATCAGTGGGGCTTCCATTCCTTGATCTAGAGTTGGCAGAGATTCTGTCCTTTGTGATGCCCATTGTTCCATTCTGTGACAGTTCTCCTCCTTAGCTATTCAGCTTCCTGCCCTAAAGTTGGCAGTGGCATATTCCTAGTTAATGAAGTGCCAGGCAACAGCTGCGGTTGTGGACTCTGTTTACTTTGGCAAGTATGCTTTATGCTGGTCATTACCTTGGCACAATAATAAGGGGATCAACACTCTCTGGCTTTTTGAACAGAAGGTTTAACTTTACACATAGATAAACCTATGGTTTCAAATAATGCACACCAAAAGCTGCATTTTTGTATTCTGTATTCCCATTGTATTCACATCAGCTGGCTATGTTGATCCTCCTGTGCTTTCTCTCTTCTATTGCCCATTTAGATAATATGGTAATTTTCAATGTAAATATCAGCCCGTCATTTCAGTAGCATTAAACAAGCTGGTCTCTCTCATCTTCAGTGCCTTCCATTTATAGTATTTGGATTAATTAGCATACTCCTTTACCAGACTGTTGTGAGACAATGATAATTGTGCATATTAGCTTTTCAAAAATTCAGCACACAGAGTATTATTAGTGTTAATGTTAAAAATAGTACTACAGTTGGAACACAATGTTTAACTGTTTATTTAACTGTTTATTTCATTTGTATGCCACCCTTTTCCCCCGAGGGGGACTCAGGGCGGCTCACAGCTCAAAACAAGGGAAGGGGGGGATACAAACAATTTGACAACAACACAAAACAATACATAATTTAAAAGCGCAACAATCATACCATTCGAGATAGGGGCACGGTTCTTTAGCCCCAGGCCTGTCGGAACAGCCAGGTTTTAAGGGCTTTGCGGAAGGCCTGGAGGGTGGTGAGGGTGCGAATCTCCACGGGGAGTTCGTTCCAGAGGGTCGGAGCAGCCACAGAGAAGGCTCTCCTCCGGGTAGTCGCCAGTCAACACTGGCCAGCGGATGGAATTCGGAGGAGGCCTAGTCTGTGGGATCTAATCGGTCTGGTGGAGGTAATTGGCAGCAGGCAGTCTCTCAAGTACCCAGGTACCTATGGAGTCACATAGATGCCAAAATGTGCATTGAAAATGCTCTTAAAGATTTATCATATCAATTTCTTAGTTTAGAGAGAATCTGTGAATGAATAGAAAGCTATACCATTTTAGCTATATTCTATTGTAAAATATTTAATAAAAGAGGTAAAGTTCTTTTTTAACAAATATCAGTACTAATTCCATTCTTCTTTCAAGGAATTTAGACTAGCAGACAGGGCTTCTATTTCCATTTTATCCTTTGAATGACAGACAGGGAGCAGCTTGCTCAATGTAACTCAGCTTTGAAGTTACTAAATTGTTACCATCAGCCCTGCTTCAACACCCAACTGTTGTACCATCTGAATAACTGACTAGACAGCTGCTGCAACTGTCAAGTAGTTCAGAAGATTAAAAAAAACAAACTAAAGCTACACTTGTTGGGAACTATAGACCAGTTCTATGCTACCACCAGGTGGTAACATAGAGTTACAACTACCTTCCCAAAAGAAGAGGGCCTAAAGGCAAAGACAATTTAGATAAACTGTCTTTGGATTTTTTTTAAAAGGAGAAAATTTCAGTGAATTCAACAAGCCAACTCTCTCTCTCTCCCTCTCTCTCCCCCCCCTCTCTCTTTCCCCCCAATTTCCCAGGATCTCAAACCATGTGGCCCAATCCACCATTAAACCATCTCCATATTTCCAGTGTCTTTCTCTGCACTTGGGACTGAATCCAGGTGAACATTTTTTCCAACAGTTAGATAATGGAATTCACTTTTCCATATGTAAACAAAAATCAAGAAAATCTAATCAAGAAATTACCTTTATTAGGCAAGTAGTTTAATAAATCATAGCACGCATATGCTACAAATTATG